ATTTCTGTGATGGGTGGTTTTGTTTCAAATGCTAAAAGATTTTAAAAACCTTTTGAAAATGAGATTGGAAAATTTTATTTATAAAAAGAAAAGGAAAATTTCCTTCCATTCCCTCCCTTCCTCTGTTTCGGCCCGCAGGCCCTTCCTTGCGCTGGCCCAGCTCCCCTCTCCTCCCTTGCGCACCGCAACCGCTAGCTCCGCGCGGCCCAGCAAGGAGTCGGCCCAGCTACCGCCGTCGTTCCCTTGGCCCAGCTCATGCGCAACTGCCGCCGCGCGCCCTTCACCGCGCCTCTGCCGCTGCCAACCCGGCCCCGCCCGTCAGAGCCGTCCTCAACCTCCTCCCGCACGCCCCGCACCCGGTCACGCACAACCGCCGCCCACGCCTCCGGTCGTGGGAGCGTCCCCCCCGGCTCCTCAGCCTCGATAAATAGGAGCTGAGTCCCCCGCGCGCCCCTGCTGCTCCCCCGCGCCATTTTCTCTCGCGTTCACGCCTTGGAAGCCCCACAACCGCCGCACGGAAGAGCTCCGCCGATCCGCCGTCCTCACCTCCGCACGGACCGCCGTCCCCGAGCCTTCCCCGTCCTCGCTTTTCCCCGCGGTGAGAACCCCCTCGCTCTCCTATCTCTCCCCGACCTTTTCCCTTGGCATTTTGTGGCCTGTATGGCCGTGTCAAGTGCGCCGGCGAGCTCCTCCTCGCTGCCGGTCATGGCGGGCGCCGCGCGAGCCATCCCCCGGCTGTGTTTTGTCCCGGGGTGGACTCGCCATCTTCCCCGCATCATCCCCGTGGCCTCGGTTGGGCACACCGTGGCCCGTGGGCTGAGTTTCCCGCGCGCCGGCGAGCTCCTCGTCGTCGGCAATGGCGCCCCGCCGCGGAAGCTTCTGTTCCGGCCGGCCACCCCTTCCTTCTCCCTCCCCAGATCTAATCCGTGCCGCCCGATCTTGATCCAACGGCTCTCAGTGGCCGATACCCCTTCGCGGGTAGATTTGCTAAAGAGCCCTCCTGGATTCACCTATTTGAACCCGCAGTCCAAGGCGTAGTTTCCCGAATGCGCAATCTCGTTTGGAAAACGTAAACTCCACGGCTTAAGTCAAAAATACGTTTTCAGTATTTACAGAAATGCCATTTGAACTGTTTCGCTTATAAAATTGTCGTCTTAGCTCCGAATTGATCCATTCAAATCGCGTTAGCTTCGTAATTTCATAAGCTACATGTTGGAACTACTGTTAGTCAAGTTTGGAACTTTTTAATTTCATGATTAGATTTAATTAAATATATGGCTATAGGAAAACCCGTTTAAATCATAACTTTCGCATTTTAGCTCCGTTTTTCGTGAACTTCGCGTTGACGTGATCGTAGCGAGACGTAGATTAGTTTTACAAACATTTTATCTTGATTTTAATATTGTTGGTGTACTGTTCTAATGATAGGAATGTTTGCTTTGCATGAATGCTTTTGGAATGTTGTATGTTGCTGTGTTGATCGCGTTCAGACGGTGAGGAAAACGTGGGAGACCAAGAACTCTTCGACGACCAGCAGGACCAGCACGAGTTTGTGAACCAAGGCAAGTATAGCATGGGCCTTCCTTGATGTCCTACTTCACTTTAATCAATTACTCATTTGCATGTGTCTAATTTTGATACCCGTAAGGACATCCTAGTGATTGTTTATCCTGTTCCTTGTCTCCTATGGGTTAAATGCATGTGGGTAGACTGTTAGTGCTCTAACTGAACTTGACATACATGTTGATGAATGATACTATGGAACAAAGTGAGTAACATGATTTATAATAACTGTTCCATAGGGCGAAAGTGCAAATGACCTTTTTTCATGTTGCTCCCGGCCCTCCATAAGGACTTATCTGTCGGCAAAAGCTGGGACTGACAGTGCAACCGGAAGAGTCATATGGCTCTGACTTTAGCTCAGTAATAGGATCTTTTCTAGCTAGTTAGAGGTTACCTTTATGGCGCAAATTGGGCTTGCCACGTTGGGTATAGGGCTGCCTCTGTTCCTATGTGTATAGCCACGATGGATATGTGCCATAGGAAAGGGAGGTTCCTACATCTGTCTGCCAAGGAAACCTAGCGGCCCTAACTTGTTAGAGAAACCTATGAAATGGCTTCATAGTGTACCCTGCCCGCTCACCTTGGAAGTGACATGGGAGTAATTAACCCGGGCATATGGGGATCACGACTCGCGGTGAATGTGCACCACCTCTGCAGAGGGTAACAAACTGTTATAACAGCCGTGCTCACGGTTACGAGCGGCCCGGAAAACTCACAGAATAACTGGTTACTTGTTGATGATAATTTAAAGTTGTTCAATGATGATATATGGTACACTTGACCCCGATATATGTTCTTATGGGAATTAAATGGGAGCTTCAGCATAACTTGATAATACTTGAGAATAAAAGCTTGACCTATTAAAAATACTAACCGCAGTAAACTAGAGTTTATCCTTTTTGAGCTTCATAACCCCATGTTATCTTGCTAAGTACGGAATATACTTACACTTGTTTATTTTCTTTACTTGGATAAAAATCCCGGATGGGTAACAGATGACAACGGGTATGAGGATTTCCCGGAGGATTATTAGGGTTGTGGTCAACCAGTTGACCTTTCCTGTGATGACGGCCACGAGAGTTTTATTATCTTTTTAGTATTCCGCTGTGATGTATAAGAATAAGTTTTATTATAACTCTGATGTATGAGACACCGTGATGATACTTTATGTAATTTGTCAGCTTGTGTGTGTGATTGATTCCTGGGCACACACGAGTTTTGTGCATTCAATTTTATCTTTAAAATTGGGTGTGACAAATTCGAAACCAACCAGCTCCCTCATTTTGCCCGAACACGCTCGTCCCACTAAGACAGCGTCTTAGTCTCGCTTAGGAGGCCAGCTGGGCATGGCTAGGCAATGCCGTTAGGAACTAACAATGCAGTACCAGTGTAGTTTCTATAGAAATTAAATGAACCTATCACGTACACAAAAGTATGAGGTGGCAACCGATTTAATATGGACAGAGAAGAAAATAGGAAGAAACACTGAGTCGATGAGCGCACATCGTTGCCGCTCTGCGCTAGGCCCGCAACCGTTGTTGCCCCACGCCGGCACTCCCCGTCGGTGCCACAGGGCCACACAATCCTGATGTCCCTCGACCAAGCGCCTGTCGTCAGCTGCACTCGGGTGAGCAGGCTCAGTGTAGAGAGAGAAAGGATTGGTTATATTTTTCTTTGGACCCACCCAAGTAGAAACTTGCATTGGGTAGGATAGTTTCCTCACCTGATATCCTAGACTACAGGGTTGGGAATGCCCTGGTGGGTGGCGGAGCGAGGAACATGACAACAACACAGCCAACGGCGACGCGAGTGGGGCACACGGCTGGGCGGCGCGAGTGACGCAGCCAACTCATTTCATAGCATATTTTGAGGGGGGAGTTGTAGTTTGATAGCTTGATGTGTGCATGTATCAATAAGGGGAGAATGTTTCCACACAAAGATCAAAAGGGACAAATGAGTTTGAGCGTACATACATTAGGGATAGTGCATCAGTTCAGAGAGTTTGCTTTCGAGACTTTTTTTGCTAGTTATGTTGAGCCTTTGCCTCTTCTAGGAGACAAGATGCTTCTCGAACTGTTTTGACTCTTGGTGAGTTGCTCTATTATTACTTGGTTGTTGCTCTGTTGTTTAGCTCGTGGTGTTGAGCCCTTTCTGCCATCTCCGGCGGAACCCTAGTGCGTTCACAGCGGCCCTCCTTCTCCCCTCTCTCGCCGGAGCTCCACCATGACCATGAAATCCCCCGCCCTGATCTGGCCTCGCCGCCTCCATCGCTGCCAGGACCCGAAACCAACCTCCCGCCGTCCCCACCGCCTGGCCGGCCTTCCTCCCCCCAAAATCCGTTCTAAGCCCGCCGGAGATGGAGCTGCTTCTTCTTCTTCTTCGACTCTGGTGGGGGCGTGGGTGCGGGTGCGGCCGCCGAGGAGGAGCTCGCCGGAGTTATTGTCAAAATCTGGGGAGAGAGAGAGAGAGAGAGGTGGAAGACAACTGAGAGAAAGGTGGGACGCGGTGGGGTGGGCGCCGCGCGCTGGAGCATGTGTGGCCGTGCAAAGAGGGAAAAACGGCCGGCCTGTATTAAGTCATTACCTAAAGTTTTACATCTTGGTAACAAAAAGGAGGACACATATGTATTCATCAATTGTCGCTGCCTCTCAACGTCAACGACAGAAACATGTACATAATGCATGGCTCACTATACAAAAGTGCATCTGCATGGGTGTGTAGGGTAGAACACACTTTACTGGGAAAGAGATGATTCAGAGAGGGATTTCCACCTGGAGATAGATAGCTTAACCATAGCTTCGCCACTCTCAACGTCAAGCTATGGCCATGCTCGTGGGTCGTGGGCAGCAAATTTTCCTGTGGCCACGGCGAGTCCGATCCACTGCGGCTGCGGCCCAAAATTTGACAGGCCCTGGTGTTTACAGCGGAGCGGAGGAGGGAGGGAGGGAGTGTTCTGGAAGGAAGAGAATTTCTCATGCACGAGACGGCTCCACCTCCACGGCGGGGCCCCGCTGGCAGGTGGGCCCGGTCGGGATGGAGATCGCAGAAATACCACGCGGCTTATGGCGCGCGCCCACGTGGCGGCCGCCTCATCCACGAAAGCCCCGGCGCTGCTATCTCCCGCCCGCCCCCGCGCCACGCATCCGCCCTCACCGCCGCCTGATCCCGTCGCCCCGACGCCTTCCGGCCGTCGGATGCCTCGTGGCGGCTGTTGTTGGTCTGGTCTTTGGCGGCACCCGCCGCGGCAGCCATATATGGCGCGGAGGCGCGCGCGCTCCCCGCTCGAGATTCCGTCCACGCCATTGCGTCGCACTGCCTCCACACGACGAGCACCCACCCACCACGGCCAAGGAACCCAACGGCGTCTGTGAGCTGTGCTTGTGCGCCACAAGACGAAGCTTCGAGATCCAGGCGGGTAGCTAGCTAGCTAGGTTGCCATGACGTCCACCGTGACGACGCCCAGCCGGCCGCTCGCCGCCGGGAGCCGGCCGAGGCGGTCTGGTCCCGCCGTGCTCTCGCTCAGCAAGGGTAGTAGCAGTCCTCGGCGGCGCCAGGCGCCGTCCACGAGCTGCGCCGCGCTCGCGTCGCCCGAGAAGGAGCGCACGCGCAACAAGCTCCCGCCGCCGCCGCCGTCGGCTACGGAGCAACAGCAGGAGGAGGAGGAGAAGGCCACGGACTACAACGAGGTCGCGGCCGTGCTGGAGAGCATCTACAAGCTCAGCCCCGCCGTGGAGGTCGAGGAGGAGAAGCGCCACGGCAGCGGCGACGAAGACGACGAAGGCGAGGGCGGCAAGGCCAAGAAGAAGAAGAAGAGGAAAAGCAGAGTGGTGAGTTGCCTCCGCTAGCTGTTCAATCACTCCTCTCGAGCTAGTAGTACATCATCATTGTTACACGCGGCAACGCGCGCGGCTAATCATCGGCATGTGCATGCGCAGGCGGGCCGGAGCACGGTGATTGTGAAGAGCCGGCGGCGGCGGCGCGGGAGGAGGATGGACCTGGGGAAGAGGGTGGAGATGAAGAGCGCCGCCGCTACTAGCAGGGAGCAGCAGCAAGGGGAAGAGGACGACGGAGAGCGCGAGTTCGAGGAGATGCTGCTGCGGGAGCACTCGGTGTCCACGGACATGGGCAGCCTGGACTGGAAGCGCATGAAGATCCCGCCGGTGCTCACCTCGTCGCAGAGCGCGCGCCTCTTCAAGACCATGCAGCCCATGAAGGTACACCAGACCAGATTGCGTTGCCCGACCCATTCATCCACTCATTTTCAATTCTGCAAGTAACAAACGAAACGATTACTGTAATCATGCAATTTCTGTGTTTTCATTCATTCAGGCGATCTTCGAAGTGCAGGAGAGCTTGCGAGAGGAGCTGCAGAGGGACCCCACCGACGCGGAGCTCGCCGAGACCACCGGCATGACCGTCCACCAGCTCCGCCGCCGCCTCGACGTCGGCCGGGCCGCCAGGAACAAGCTCATCAAGGTAAAAAAATCTTCAACCAATGCAGCCAGTCAGATTTGTTCCTTTCTGGACTCTGAAACTGAACTCTGAACTCTGAAACTGAAACTTGAATTGGCACCTGCACCTGCAGCACAACCTCCGGCTGGTGCCGTACGCCATCAACAAGTACTACCCGGACATGGGCACCGATGAGCGGTTCGACGACCTGTGCCAGGCGGGCGCCAACGGGCTGATCACGGCCATCGACCGGTTCGAGCCCAAGCGCGGGTTCCGCATCTCCACCTACGCGCTCTTCTGGATCCGGCACTCCATCGTGCGCGCCATGACGCTGTCCAGCTTCACCCGCTTCCCGTTCGCCATGGAGTCGGAGCGGCAGGAGATCGGCAAGGCCCGGGAGGAGCTGGCGTTCGAGCTCGGCCGGCCGGCCACGGACGAGGAGGTGCGGCGGAAGGTGGGCATCTCCCCGCAGCGGTACCGCGACGTGCTGCGGATGACCAGGCCCACCTACTCGCTGCACGCCAGGAACCGCGTCACGCAGGAGGAGCTCATCAACGAGGTCACCGACGATGATGCCATCGGCGTCGACGCCGGCGGCAGGCACAACACGCTGCTCCGCCTCGCCATCGACGACCTCGTGAGTTTGTCATGTCTTCGGTTAATTGTGTCCTTTCTTTGGCTTTGGTCTCTGGTTTGTGATTGTGAACAGCAATATATGCTCACGTATGCAGCTGGACTCTCTGAAACCCAAGGAGAGCCTTGTGATCAGGCAGCGGTTCGGGCTGGACGGCAGGGGGAAGCGCACGCTCAGCGAGATCGCCGGCAACCTCAGCATCTCGCGGGAGATGGTGCGCAAGTACGAGCTCAAGGCGCTCATGAAGCTCAAGCACCCCACAAGGGTGGAATACCTGCGCAGATACATGTGAGCCTGAACTTGTTCAGCTGCCGGTGGAGTAAGTAGCATGGTATGTGCATTGGCTACATATATGGAGTAACTAGTAATACAACAAACTGAACAGAGTTACTCTGCTTTGCTTGCTGTATATATGTGTGAGTGTGGCTATACCATCTACTCCTCTTCTACTGTATACTAGAAGAAATGTACATATACAGGAACTTGCGTGCGTGTGGGAATCCAGATGAGCGAGTTCATTTGAGTGAGGTTGTATCGCAGACCTCACATGCATGTAATTCTTGGCATACATACATTATCTATGGTACATATACAACATATGAAAGAAGAGAAAAGCTCCATGCTTGCATCTTTGCATACATAATCGTCATGCGTCCAAAAACTTCATCTCCGTGGCATTGATGATGATCCATGGTTACAATACAATTCTATTTTATGACTCATGGTTTAGAGTTTAGACAAAGTCCAAGAATATGAAGCTTTTGATTTGTACGTTTAAGCAACTATCTAGGCTTAAGATGATTTCTCATTTTTTAGATTAAGAATAAATAAAGAGTATCCCGGCCTCCTACATTCACACTTGGACCAAACATCGAACTAAAACATCACAAAACAACTTAGCAATCAGCACAAGGAAACTGAACAACCTAGACTCGACAAAAACAAAAGAAGCTTTAGCTTGCTATCCTTCTTTGATGTCTCCATGCCATCTGTCCAAAGACTTCGATCACCGTAACTTCCAATAGTCTGCACTCTTCCTTCAAAGTCTCTCTCTTCCTCTTTAGATAACTAAGCTCAGTGCCTGATCTAGTACATCCCTCTGAAATTACTTGCATGAACATCATTTCTACTCAACCACAAAAGCCCAGCATATCGCCGCCAAACACACTATTACTTGGTTTCTAACATCTAAGGGGCAAAACGCTTTAACCAAGAACCGTATCCTTAGGTGGTTGAAAATTGAAAATGATGGACAACACAGTCCACAAAAAACTTGTTGTATGACAATTAAAAAAGAGACATCGGAATATTCCCTCCAAGCAATAGAAGCTACATTTATTTTCCCCTTTCTATCCCTTTTTCATCGAGTTATCTTTTGCAAGAACTACACATATCTTTAAATACCAAAGAAAAATCTTTATCTTTAGAGAAAGTTTAGCCTTCTAGAAGAAAGTTTTTCTAGGAATTTGTTCTTTTTTTTATCTCTCTATACAGATATTGTATTGAAAAAACACATTCTATCTTAACTACCAAATGAAGTCGTCATTATTATCATTTAAAGCGACTGGCAAAACTAAGAAGACAAGACTAAGCCAATCCTTCAACTTTTCCCCAACTAACGTCCTTCTAAAAGAAACATTCAAAGGGGAGCTACTTAGCACACTAGCCACTGTACCACCCTTTCTTCTCACAATATTGTATAAAGCTGTGTACTTTAACTTTAAAGGTTCCTGGCCAATCCAAAGGTCTTCTCAAAATCTAATTTAATTTTCACTATTGGATTTAAATCTCCCTTTTTTCTAGAAAAAGATCTTTAACAGCAATGAGTCCCACCCAAAAGTGAGAACCATTCATCTGTTTTACCACTTGGGATAGACATTTGTTTTTCAGATATTCCTTTCTCAAAACATCTTGCCCATGACCCTCTTCGTTCTAAGCTTAAAAAGCCACATGGTTAGTTTGTCAAATTAAAATCTGTGCTGCTTGCTTGACCACCGCCACGACGGTGGAGCTTGGAAGTCGGAAATGCCGCCAAGCTCTTAGCCACTGCGTGCCCACGCCTAGTTGCGCCAAGCAGGAGAGGAAAAGGACTCGGTCTCCTGTGCATATGGCGTCGTACAGGAACACACCGACCTGTAGGAACCAATCGTCTACAAAAACTAAATTGACAGTAACAGAATGGCATAGAGGGAGAGGAAAACTAAAGCCGATGGCATTGAAGAGAAGTGACATTTTTCCAATGGCATTGAAGGGATAAGTATAGTTTTTGATGGTATATAAAGAATTTTCTCATGATGAAAAGGTTATAGTAGTGAATGAGCCAAAGAGAAATAATGGTTGGGCTACTAAAGCTCCTCTCACGTGCATACTACCGGACATTTGGCAGCAACAGGCAAATTTCCCTCGCCGGTAAAACAGCTACAAGTATGTTTCGAACACAATGTACAGCTAGCTGGCCAATAATGGTAAGAAAATTTGGTAGGCGATCAAGATAAATCAAGCATTACAGCTTTGAATAAGCATACTACAAGCCCTTTTCTTTTTAAAAGAAAAAAACATGGAACAGGGTCACGTTCCGCATTCCAATAACGTCCTTTCGGGAGCATCTACATTCCTAATTCAAGGACATTTATGTTCTCACCTTATAAAATATCACCCCAAGTTCTCGTTCCCGTTCCACACTCATGTTCCGTGGGAACATGGCTGCTGGCTGCTATGGTCTAGCTTCTTGTACAAAATATACGTAAGGCCTTGTTCAATTAATCCCTAAATCGAAGGATTGGAGGGGATTGCGGGAGATCTGGACATTTATCCCCCTCAATTACCTCAGTTTTGGATAAACAAACAGGCCTTTAAGGAACCACCAATGGCCATGAGCACAGGAAAATGGAACCCACCAGGCCACGGTTCTTCCTGTACTGTAGGTGTTTGAAAAGGTTACCTTTACAAGAGAGAGGTGTAGGTTAATTAAATAGGAAACACACAAAGTTGCACCTAATAAACAGTTTAACTCAAATGGCCACCATAGAGAACGTGCATTATCATACCAAGTTACCAACACAAGTTTGAACAGGAAAAAAAGGATAGCTTTTTTTGAGTGGCAAAAAAGGATAGCTACAATGAACTGTGTCATGTGTATATGCTCCTTCATCTTCACCATCTTTTGTAGGCGTCCAGAAATGAGTGCCATCCTCGAGTGGGTTTTGGGCTGGGCTGTTTATGATGACATTAGTGTGAAATGCTTCTTTGATGGGCTCTGGCCCATTAGAGCAACTCCAATAGACTCCCTATATCTTTCTTAATTGCTAGTAATAGAGATTTTAGTAGAAAAATATCCTCAAATAACTTCTCTAAGTGGTCCATATATAGCCATTCTCTATTCTGGATTTCTGGCTAGCCAAAGATAGATAGTGAAAATGGCTCATGTACATAACATATAGAAAAGTTGTTGGAGAGTGGAAACATATAGAAAGCAACTTGTATGCAGATGACTCTCCAAATGGTGATTTAGAGAGTGAAATTTAGAAACACTCACTCTTAATTATTTTGGTCATGTGTGTTATTTCTAGATATCTTCTCTTCAATCCCTTTTGAGTTGATAGCATTCTTTCCTGACAATGAAAACTGAAAAAAAGTCACTTAGTAGAAGTTTAACAATTAATAAATTCTATTATTAGCGCGCTCTCTTTATATATATATAAACGTTAAGCCTATTTCGCTCGATTTCTCTGTTGCAATAGCTCTGCTGCCAAAAATAACTAAGTTCCAAAATAAAAACTATCCGAAAGAAGCCTCTAGAGCACACCTCAATGCCACGTTGTCAGTTGTCAGCCTGAACTGTCCTCCTTGACCTCCTTTGTCACGTTGATAGGCCTCCTACTTAAAATAGTCGACAGTGGCACGAGCTCGTCGACGTCACCACATGGCACCCAACTAACGCGGAAGTTGTTACTAGCATGCAACAAAGTAAGCCTGTGACGTTCACCTCCCTCCTACATGCATCCGCATCCGCAAGCGCAACAAAACACCATGCCATGCAAGATGCAACCGCCCGCATGGCGCAAGGAAAGCTAAGCCCAAGCCAAGCGGAAGAAAACCCGGAGAGAATCCCGGACGCGGCTCTCTCCTCAGTCCTCATCCATCCCTATCCTGTCGCCATGCCAGGTGAGCTGCGACTACTAAAATGCTAACAGCCTATCCAGCCAAGCAGCTAGCCAGCCTGCCTCCTGTTAGGCACAAACGCAAGGCACAGTTCCAAGTTTGAACCAACATAAATACAGGCAAATAATCAACCTCAGGTTAGGAATCAAATCAACTCTGATGAATTATGCTCACAAGGGATATAAGATTCATAACTGGTAGGTTATATGCTACTCTACTACATATATAAGCATTGATGATTAATGACCCAATAAATCCAACAATCTGAATCCAAAAGCACCTATTGGGGTTGAAATTGAAATTGAAACTGAAGCAACAAGCTAGCTGATCCTGCGCATTTCCACACGGGAAAGCGAATGCTGCATAGCAGCCAACAGCTTGTTCAAGACAAGCGTTCAGGCAACGATGAAAATATGCATATAATATATACATTCCATGCTAGTGTGCTAGATAGGTATCCTACAAATAAAAGGACATGCAACACGGCTCATCATACCCACGTCTGACAAGCATGGATGCCATCCAATCATTTCGGATCGTCTTCCCCAAGTCCGTCCAAGTTTTGACGCACCAAAGTAGATAGCTCCACATAATGTGTTAACTTCATCTCAAACATTGACTGGAGATTTTTCAATGAGTCTTTTTATCTTGGAGATATCCGCTTTTGCCTTGGCAATTTCCAACTTGGAGACTTCCGCTTTTGCCTTGGAGATTTCCAACTCGTCTTCAGACGCATGCTGATCAAGCAACTCGCTGACTCCTGCTCTGAACTTCGTAATCTCAGAATAATGTATTTCTACTTCCTGATTGATTGAGCATATCAGCAACTCGTTAGACGCACTGAACAATCAACATAAATCTAAATTTAAAAGCAATTCTAAGCATACAACCAGCATACAGGTTGCATTGTTTTTATATTAATTAGCCTCCCAGCAAAAGCTTTACTATCTGGTACCAAGCGTTTTAGACAAGACAAGGCAATTTAGACAAGACCTGCTTGGCTGTTTAAGATCATGTAACTGAAAAGAAATTAATTTGAGTACAATGGACCAAAAAGGAACCTGCATACGGGAGCAACCATCAAACAAATCTCCTGGTGTGTAGATGTTGATAATATGCTTCTGTTCAAATCCAGCACCGCATTGAGGGCACTGGAAATAAAGAACACGATTGGCATGCACAGATAAGTTGAGAATTATCATGGTGTACACAGCTCTGACAGCAATCCAATATAATTCGGAAACTGGAGTAACATGAATGTCGATCGCCTACATAGAAGTATATATGGTACCTTTGCACTTGTGTTACCGTAAGCACCCGGCCATTTCTCCAGGCACGACCTGCCGTGTACATGTCCACAGGGAAGCTGCATGTATGTAATGGGTAAGTGACAATACAGTGCCAAATTCTCAACAATCATCTATTTCCCAACACAAGATTATATATTTATATCATATATATACTACGAATCAAAATCATGAGAGATGGATATATGCGTCAGTTTAGTGACCTGAACCATGACAATCACACAGTTTTGGCCTGGTAATTACATAGTACATATCAAGAATATAAGGGGTGGAGCCTGATTATCAGATATGATGCTCCACAACCTTGGTGATCACGAATTTTTCATAATTATCAGTGGCGATGCCATGCAGACATGTCCTATGTACTTGTTTTTGTACTATTATATGAGAAATGTATGTTTCCTATGAAAACTGGAGGGTTCACATATATAGAGGGAAGTATCTCCTCTAAGCAGCTGTGATGCAGAAAGATGAAACTTTACCGTGTATAGTATACGCCCAATCATGAGGATAGACCCCAATGCATGTAAATCTTTTTTAGTCACCAACATACACATATCATATGTGGCGTAAAAACAAAATATTAGATATGTAGCCACGCATACTACCACCAAGTTGCGCAGGAAAGGATTGCGAACCTGCATCTGATTTGGGGTTTTGTTGGGACCTTCTTTTTTTTTTAAGGATAATAACAGTCTAATAATGCGATCGCAGAAGAGAAATGTACAGGCGCAGGCGAACCCACTCACCAGATGCGATGCGCGCCGCTGCAGGACCAGGGCGCCGTACACACGCAGCAGGTGGACGTGGGCCTCGTCTCCACCGCCACCACGGTGCTCGCGGAAACCCTAGCTCCGCCTAGCACCTCCTGGCCCGACGATTGTCCCGCCTCCTTGGCTACTTGCACATAGATCTCCATTGTCGGCACGTCCGATCCCTCCTTCGTGGGCGGCGACGGCATGGCAGCGGGGGATTGGGAGACGCTGGTCCTGGACGGCGTCACGAGAGTGGAAAAGAAGGGAAGGGGTCACTGTCCAGTCCAAATGTTGGGTTTCGAATATTTAGGGCTCTAGTTTGGATGTCTGTTTTTGGCCAGGCATTCATATTTATCTACGAGGGTTTAATTCCCCTAAAAAATCTATGGGGCTTAATTAGGGGTCCTCTACTATTATTGCTCTTAGTCTATACTTTATCTTATGTTCATCACTTGTCAAAAAAAAGTCTGGATAGTTAATAATCTAGCCTATTAAGTAAGCTTCTAGGAATAGGCGAAAAAGGACATCATAAACATTAGCACATTAGATAAAAAATTGAGTTTAAAAACACCGACCTCTCCTCGAGAGATAACAGCAACTTACCCTCCTACTAAGTTAAAAAAAATTTAAACCCTCTTGAATCAGACTCCGGTCCTTATCGAACAACTTTCGATATTACGGCAATGCAAAGAAAACTTGAGAGTTAGTATTCACAATTTTTGGGGTGTCATGACGGTTTTTAGCCCGCCAATTATTATTAGGAATCATATGCACCATAGAAAAATAAATACTAGAGATTAGAAAGAAGGAAGGTTGGGAACAAAAGTTTATAGTGTTAGAGAGGCAAATCCTTATCGTTAGAGGGAAGTCTTAGGGCATTTACAGTGCAGAAACTATCATAATTTTTATGTGCATTAATTATCCTGTCACCTAAGCATTTTGATGTGGTAAGCGATTTAGTGAGAAGAGAGAGATGAGAAAATCATGTATACACGAGAACCAAGACATGAAGACATGTGATATCTAGATGAGAGAGAAAGAAGACACGTACAAAAACAACATTGTTGTTTATCTTGATAGTTTTTTTTTCAAAATCCAATAACATAGAAAAAATATCATTATAAGTATTTTTTTATAAACATATGAGTGGGTGTTGATAAACATCTTTTATGGTAATAAACAAAGATGGAGTATGACAAGTTAAAGCCAGTCTTAGTGGGAGTTTTATTTGCATTTAATAAGCTATCACGTAAGCGCTTTTGATGATATGGCAACGTCTTTAATAGGAGAGAGAAGAAATGAGTTTTATAGGGATAAAATTCTCTGGACACGATTACCAACTCTCCATTAGTCATGAAATTAAATGTCTACGAATCCATGGAATGAAACACTTTATTGAGAGTGGGTGTTTAACACATATTTTATTTTATTTTATATGATATAGCAGTCTTGGAAACAACATCGTAAATTTCCCCATTGAGATTGGCCAAAGAAACAAAACTATAACACAAGTGGAAAAAGAAACAACAAAACTATTACACAAGTGGAAAAATAACCGGGAGAACACAATTATAATCACTTATGAAGATCAAACAAAAAATCTTGGAACCGTATTTTACTATTAACAGTGAAACATGGGTGCATTTATAATCCAAAAAATTACCAAACTACGTTTCAAAATAATTGGTAACTTTTACTTATAATGTTCACACTTTGTTTGGACATTTCGTATATCCATGGAATTGAGATTGATCGACGTTTTTATATGCATGGAACTGATGTTCGCCGCCGGTATGTGTGAGCCGTAAGCTTCATCTCTTTGGATTTGATGCTGATCCCTTTGAACAAGTGACGACAAACCTAGCAATGACGACGCATCAAGCGCAGGGGCATGCTTGCCAGATGTAACTGCCCACGTCCGCGTGCTTGAACATGCTCGTCTGGCACCACAAAGTGCCAAGCTTGCAATTCCCAACCCCCTCTTGTCAGGGCGGTGGAGACCAGAAGCCGCCATGCACGCCGCCACGTACGCAAGCGCCGGTGACTACTGACTAGCGCCCCCCATCTCCGCACCGCACCCACCTGGCCGCCTCCCCTCGAAGCCGCGCCGCATTAACACGCCGATCGCGCAACTGCTTCCTAGCTTCGTTCCGGAGCGCCAGCAAAAAAAAGAAGCGCCTTTGCCCACCGCGGGATCCATCGATCGATCGATCCGGGATCCGGCGGCCGGCCATGGTGAAGCTGGCGACGGCAAGGGAGGCGCGGCTGTACGGGCCGGCGCTGGCGGCGCGGCGGTGGGAGTACATCAACGCGGGGGTGTACGTGTTCGCGGCGCTGCTCCTGGTCCTAGCGGCGGGCGTCGTCCTCGCGGCGGCGGCGCTATCCGTGTCCGCGTCCGCGTCCGCGTCCGCGGCCAGGGCGGGACTCGCCGTGGCCGCCGTGGCGCTGGCGGCCGCCGCGGCCGTCAACGCTCACGACCTCGCGGCGCACCTCGCCGGCGTCGACTGCCGCGTGGGGCTGGCGAGGTACGACGCCCAGCTCGGCCTCGTGGAGTTCCTCGTGCCGGCCATGCACGCGGCCGGCTGCGCGTTCGCCGTCGTCGGCCTGGCGCTGCTGGTCTCCCACTCCCAGCACCTGGAGGGGAAGGGCGCGGCAGAGCACGGGAGACGGGAGGCGCACGCGGCGATCATGCTGCTCGTCGCGGCGCTGCTGTGGGTGCTGGGCTCGGTGCTCAACTCCTGCCAGGTGTACGAGCGCGGCGACGGCCGCGCGCAGCTGCTGCAGTCGAGCGTGCAGGTGCCTCAGCTCCTGGGGAGCCTGCTGTTCCTGGTCGCCGCGGCGCTGAACCTCCGCGTCGTATCCGGCACCGGCAGCGGCGGCGATGAGCCGGCGTGGCTGTTCCTGGCGGGGAGCGTGCTGTGGCTGGCGGCGGCGCTGCTCAACGTGCTCAAGGTCTTCACCATGCACCAAAGCGACGCGCTGCGGCTGGAGAAGCTCCGCGGCGGGGCGCAGGAGTGGCTCAGCCGCGACCGCGAGGGTCGCGTCCCACTCAACTGGGAGGAGGCCGCCAGGAGACGGGCGCTGCCCACCGAGCTCCGGTGATCCTCGCTCGCAACAACTTTTTCCGCGCTGTAATGTAAAAGAGGGGCGAATCGAAGGGGTAAATAAATTGTTTGGGCTGCAACCCTTCTGGGCCGTTGTTGGGCTTAATGACGGCCTCAACCCCCGGATTGTTGGGCCCAATAGTTGCTGGAGCTTATTGTATTCCATTTTCTATGTCCGAGTTTATTATTATTTACCACACACTACCAGACTACCTCCACCATCTTTGTCTTGGACCCTTTCCAAAAAAAAAAAAAAACTATCTCTTGGATCATCCATCGGGTGGTCAGTGAAAAGTGAAAACATACGCCTGACAGCGGGGTTGGAGAGTATCAAAACTGCCATGTTATATAAAATAAAATAAAAACATCTACTTTCATTGAAAAGTTTCAATTTTATAGATATTTAATTTTATTATACATAGAAAGTGGGTAATCTAAGAGAGTTTCATTCTCATAAAACCCGATTCTTCCTTCTTCTTAAAAACTCACCTCAACACAAATGAAACACTAATAAAACTTCCACTGGCCTAACAGTGGCAGCTAAATAGTCCGCACATTCTCAGAAAAGATAGCCTGTACATTGATGTGACCAGTTGAACCTATACATGCGGCACGTGTGCGTATGGTCACGACTACGGAGTAGTAGGGTAGAAAGTGTTATTATGAATAGGAGTAATTAGATGATCAATTAAAACAAAATAAGATAAAAAATAATTATATATTATATATTTTGTTTTCTTGCTTAATGATTTTTATTTCTATAAATATTTCTTTCATTATTAATTATAAGTCATTTTCTTCTTATTTGTAACTAGTAAATATGACCGTGCGTTGTAACGGAAGAAAAAAATTATTAAACATTCATGTCAAACGATAACGTGAATGATACATATCTATTTTATGCTTTTATAGTTTATTTTATGATGACCGTTTCATCCATAATATAAGTTAATGCTGACAATAAATAACAATGTCCTATTAAACTCAGATCAATTGAAATACACATTGGCATATTTTTTTTTCTTTCATTACAAAGCGCATAATTATTTAGATATAAGTATACCATAACTTTACTTTTTCATACTACCCATGTGTTTCTTTGACTTAATATTGACCTTTGTGGCTTTTTTTTGACACATTATATCAACCTCCGTCAAAACTTTTTTGATGTGTCAAGAATTGGTCATCCCCACCAATGATTATGGCGAGAGACCTCTCTTGATTTTTCACACGGCAACCCTCATTAGGAATTACATAAATACATTTATTTAGATTTCATTAGACAATAATCTTCCTAAGATTCCAGTTCATGAAATAATTAGTTGTACCATTGACTAATTCGTATTTAATAAAAATAAGTTTTATTTCTAATCAAAACTACATCAGATGGTGTAAATCTATCTCCTCAAAACTTACTGCACAAACAAACAGTACTAGAAAGTAGGGGTTATGTACCGGGGCTTGCCTTAGGCAGCAACCGGATAGTGGAAAGTTAGTGAAGGTTTCGAAAACACCGACAACGAGGACATCCTCCTCGTCCTTCTCGGCCACCTCCGTGTATTCCGAGTTTGCTTCTGGCATGTTCTCGGTCATCGCCAAACCTATATGCATTTGTTAGGCATTTTCTGCTTTTTCTATAATTTTTTCAAATTTTGCAAAATCTTTCTTTTTATAGAAAAATAGAAAACGAAAGAAAAGGAAAAAGACTTGTATGGGCTTGGTCCATCCCACAACGAAGCCGGCCCAACACGAAGGATTCAGTACAGATAAAAAAAAGAAGCCTTGTAGGAGAGGCCCACTCAATTCTAGATGTTTTGCATCAGGACCCCAATATATTTTAAAAACTATTAATGTCCTTTCACATTTTCTTTCTCTCTGACATCTTTACTTAGGTCGATTAAGGCAAATAGATCGGCATACTGAGGCTGAGCACGAGACCGATCTGGATTTGGGGTTGGACGAAAAATAAGCTAGAAGGAGGTAGAAAAAAAAAACTATGGTGAAAATTTTGCCTTTTATTATTAGATATAGATTATAGAACTTTAATATGCACCTAGACAAAAAGATACGTTTTTAAGAATTGATTGCTATATGTAAACACTTAAACACGAACAGATAGATGACTGATGCTACTAAAGAGTGGTAACCGTCGTCCATCCATATAGAATTATTATGTTGCAATTGTTTTATTTTGATGTTGCAAAAATTGATGGGGGATGTTGCATATGTTGTAAGTGCTTCAGAGGCATGTTGCGAGAGTTTGTTCAAAATGTTTTATCTGTTTCTAGAAGTATATTGCAATTATTTTTGAACTGGATATTGCATATGTTTCACACATATGTTGCAACTGTATGTTCCTAATATTTCAGCTGTATCAGTCTTATGTTGCAGCAAGTGGTTTTCATGTTGTAAGTTGCAATTGTTTTTATTTGGGTGTTTCATGTGTTTCACACAGATGTTGCAAGTGCATGTCTAAATGTTTAATATGTTTTCAGACGTATGTTGCATTCAAATATTTTTTCATGTTGCAAGTGTTTTATGTTGTTCGTCTGTGAGCGAGCCGGGGGGTCGGTGAACTGGGCGCGGGACGCGCCAGGGGCGGTGGACAGGGGTGCTGTGGGTGTGGTGGGGGCGCAGTGAGGTAGTCATAGAGTCGCCCGCGTGGAAAGTCGAAGAGTTGCCCGCATGCCGCCCGTGCGAAGAGTCGAAGAGAGAGGAAGGGGTTAGGGGAAGGATCGACGGGCTCAAAGATGGGGCGGAGTGCACTCGTGGGCGCGGGGTGAAGGCAGACGGGGCGGGCTGTGTGGCCGTTTGGACGTCCGGGCGCTAGCCACTGCGTTAATTCATAGACAATAAACGAAGCCTAATTAATGGAAGCTTCTAGGGGTAAATATGACATGGCAGTTTTGTAAGCGCTAAATATTATATTTGGATTTCTCATGTATTGGTTTGGATGTAGAAATGTTTATCAGGTTTTAGAAGTTTAGCGATATTTTTATGGTTGAATGCGAGGCGTTCACTGGATTTTTATAACTAGAAATGATAAAACTGTCTTAAAACCACTTATAAGATCTACCTTAAGCAAGGAGATAATTTGCGTAGTTTTGACTTTTATAAGAGTCCGGTTGTAAATGTCTGGTTAAATTCGAGATCTTTTCTGGGCCATCAAAGTTTGTGTACAAGGCCGCCGAGTCGTATGTGCCGGCCCAGGCCCACTTCTAATAACATTTCCTTTCTTCAGATATTTAATCCCCTTATCCGCACTGCAAAACAAATCGTCGTCGTTACCTTCCAAGTTCCAATGGCCGCGCAAGCCATCTCCCTCTCGCTCCCGACGCCGCCCACCCACCACCACCACCATGCCAAACCTCCACCCCAGCCGCTCCACCACGCCCACTCCCCTCCGCTTCACCTCCTCCTCAAAGGCGGCTCGCTCGCCGAGGAGCTGCGAGGCGTGGACTCCTTCCGCGACGGGCGGCTCCTGGTCTCCCTCCTGCGGCAGTGCTCGGAGCTCCTCCACGGTGACGAGGACACCGAGCGCGTCTCCGCGGCGCGTCGCGTCGCGCCGCAGCTGCATTCTCTGGCCGTCCGCGCGGGCCACGCGCGGGACCCGCGTGTCGCGTGCGCGCTCGCCGACCTCCTCGTGCGCCTGGGCCGCGGGGCCTCGGCCCGGCGCCTGCTCCAGGAGGCGACAGCGGCGGCGGAGGAGGAGGGCGACGACGACGATGACGCGGTGCTGTGGAACAAGCGCGTCTCCATGCTCGCCGAGGCGGAGGAGTGGGGCGAGGCGATCGCCGCGTTCGGGGAGATGCGTGCGCGCGGGGTGGCTCCCGATGGGTACGCGTGCGCGCGGGCGCTCCACGCGTGCGGCCGCGCTGGGGCGCCGCGCGGGGGGCAAGCCGTGCACGCGCACGCCGCCAAGGCGGGCCACGTCGCCGCGCACCCGCTCGTGCCGGGCTTCCTCGCCGGCATGTACGCCGAGAGCGCGGACGTGGGCGCGGCCAGGCGGGTGCTCGAGACGGAGGACGCGCCGCCCGTCGCGTGGAACGTCGTCGTCGTCTGCTGCGCGCGCCTCGGGCTCGTGGACGACGCGCTGGACCTCGCGGAGCGCATGGCGAGGTCGGGCCGGCTCGACCTCGAGCCCAGCCTCGCGACGTGGAACGCCGTGCTGTCCGGCTGCGCGCGGCATGGGCGCGTCCTGGAAGCGTTCGGCGTTGTTCGGAGCATGCTGGATCAGGGGCTGCGACCGGACTCCAGCTCCATGTCGAGCCTGCTCAAGTCTGTGGCCAGCTTGGGGCTGCTTGCCCATGGCATGGAAGCCCATTGCTTCTTCCTCAGGCACCAGCTCGAGCCGGACGTGTACACTGGGACGGCATTCGTTGACATGTACGCCAAGTGCGGCTGCCTCGAATATGCCCAGAAGGTGTTCGACACGCTGGAGCTTAGGAACATCACCACATGGAACTCACTGGTTGCAGGGTACGCGAACGCTGGTCAGTTTGACCATGCACTGGACCTTGTGGAGGAGATGAAGAGGAACAGGCTTGATCCTGATGTAACCACTTGGAACGGGCTGATCAATGGTTATTCGATGAACGGTCTGAGTTCACAGGCTGTGCTGCTGCTCCGGCAGATCAAGGCGATTGGTTTGACACCCAATGTGGTTTCTTGGACTTCGCTGATCTCTGGGAGCTGCCATAATGGAGACTATGAAGATTCCTTCTACTTCTTCAATGAGATGCAGAAGGACCATGTCCAGCCCAGCGTGGTTACCATGTCGGTCTTGCTGAGGGCTTGCGCAGGGCTTGCTTTGCTGAAGAAAGGGAAGGAGCTGCATTGTTTTGCTCTGCGAAGAGCGTATGATCATGACATGGTTGTTGGAACAGCACTAATTGACATGTATTCAAAGTCGGGAAACCTGGCGAGTGCAAAGCGGATATTCGAAAGGATTCAGGAGAATAATTTGGTGTCTTGCAATGCGATGCTCACTGGACTGGC